AAAAAAAAAACAGCCTTTTTTTTTCCTTGAATATTTTTCTTCTATTAAATTGTAAAAATATCTTTTTTTAACAGCCAACAAATGGTCAGCAGTTTATATATTAACCACTGTTCTTAGCTAATGCACTGATAGTCGCATATTTTTAAGCTTTGTTTTTATCAACAAACGTTCCTTAAAAATTTAAAAACCAATTTTTTTTTTTGAGCTAAACAGTCTGTATTTTTTACAAACTAATTAAAGCTCGTAACAAAAGACCAAAAACAGCACATTTAGATAATACTACAATTCCTTCCACCTTATCTATTTCCAGTTCTGCAAGCAGTAATAAACTCGTTTGTCAATTGTTTAGCTTAAAAAAATAGTCTACTGGAAACATGCAGAACAAAGAAGCAATTAACTACGAAAAACAAAAAAAAAAAGAAACAATTTGCAGATACAGATGCAATTAGTAGCAACAATGAAAAGCAACAACAACCTTTTGTTTATTTTTTTTTTTTTCTTCTACGATTGTTGATAATCGAAAAAGTTTTTGCAGAAAAATTTGTTTTTTAACTAAATTATTCTGCTGTTTTCACAAAATTGCACTATAACGACATAAAATACAAAGCATAAACTATAAAAAACAACAAACTACTGCTATATCAAAAAAAAAAAAAAACATCAAATACAAACCTTAGCCACTTGATCATTTTAACTTTGCAGCTACCGGCAAATTTAGGCTGAACAATGCAACGAGTTACAGGGACAAATAGATGAAGAATACTTCCTGTAATTTAATTATAAATGCAGTCGAAAACAGATATGTCAACAAAACTGCAGACGAACAACTGGAAGAATCCTTAGATACATTAATTCTTAACATACCAGAACAAATTTCTTAGTATTATATTTACTGCAGTACAATACTCAACCGTTTCCTCTCTACCGTTCTGTTGCGCATACCAGAGGTGCGCAAAAAAGAACTCTGTTAAGCAATTCTGCAACAAAATGGTTCGAATATAGGAGCAAATCAAGCAGTTAATTTAAATTAAATTCAAGAAATTTTTTTTTCAATATATTAATTTAATAACTTATAACCTCCGTTCTATATTTTCAAATAAATCCTTTGTCTACCAACAGTCAGCTGCACAGCACAAAGTTCATTTTTTGGTTAACGTATCGGTGGTCAACACAGGCACTATCGCTGTTTGCGTCACATGAAGATCCCGGTTATCAGATGTATTCATAGTCACATGACCACTTAAAAATCAAGTGTTGTCGGCTTTTGGTACATCTTGTCACACTGATAGGTCTTCCTACGTTTGATCACCGCTTCTGTCGGAGAAAAAGTGACCAAAATAAGAAAAGCCAATGAACTACAGCCATTTTTTTTGTCGTACCCAAAATACATCCATACCAAAAAATTCATTTTTACTGCCGCCGTTCAAACAGCGTTTCAGTTAAATTTTTTTCGACGTCTCTTTTCAACTGGTTCGTTTTTTGAAGAGTCACAGTTTGAACGTTTTATTTCTTATCCATGTCCCGCCAATTAATTGTCATGTTTTCCTTGAATATTACTACTTACGGTAATTTTTTGTAAAGTTAGTGAGTTCTGAAACTTGCATAGCTCTAATATATGTCCAAATAAATCTCCAACTGATACTAAGTGAAGTCTTGGCAGAGTTCTTTCTTGGTGAAAAATGACAAATAAAAGCATCGCCATTTTTCTGCTGTCCTTGATGTTTATAAAATTAATGTCAAAATTAGGCTTTATAACAGAGTAATCTTTGCTTTACTAAACTAAAGATGAAGCTCATTTAAATTGGGTTTGTCTTTGAAGTAGTTAATGATAAGCTGCAGGCCAGTTGCAGAAGCAGTTTGCAAAGAGATTTCTCAGTAGTGAATAGTTTGGCAGCAATAAATTTAATGTTACGCAATAGCAAAAATTCAAAACCACTTCTTACTGCTTGAACCAAAGAGAGTATCACTGTTTGCCGTTTGAAAACAAAAATGCAAAGATTTTTCACTAACAGCTTAAATGTTAACTCTTCTCAAGCGAGAAAGAAAAGTTTTATTTTTTCTCACTTTTGTTGAAATGATGTAAGATAAGCTTTATGGAGCCAATGGTTCCAGTGTTTATTGTATCGAATTCATTTTGCTCTGCTATTGCTGTTGCCAAAGTAAACCAACTTGAGATCCCAGGAACAAAGCTGTGTTCACTTCGCCGCACCAGCATCATCATTTCTTTAAGTGGTAATAGAATTTACAGGAGTGAAATGTGGGATCTTTGTGAACATATCAATCTCAATTAAACACGAAAAAAGCTGAAAGGAATTTTTTTAAAGCCTTTTAAGTGCTCGTTGGTTTTCTTCTCAATTCCGACTGTTTTACTTTATCTTTTATTCTTTTTTTGGTTGCAGTATCGCAAAATCCATGGAGCATTCAAAACACTGTTACGAATTTACGGGAATGAACAATTTCAGCACCAGTTTTTCATCAGCAAGTTCGCAGTCATCGTTTCTCAGCTTCAGATTCCAAAAACAATCTGAAAACAAGCTACCGTACAAAAGACGATTTGCGTTATGTTGCCGAAAAGCTGAATGTGAACATTTCTACAAAAATTATACAAACAAAGTTCTCGTGAGTTTTAAATTCTTACTTGGAAGCAAAAAGATTTCAGTGCTAATACTCTTTAATAACCAAAAACTTTCCTCAAACTCACTAAAAAACTTCGGATATCTCTCAGAAAAGTCTACAAAGAGTCTTCTTTCCTACCCACTTAAATATGCCTGTAAAAACATTAGGAAACCCTTTTCAGCTTTCTTTCAACAAGCAACGTTTTTTTGAATTGTTTAGGTTGTTATCGAGAGATTCAGAAATGAAAAAAAACTTCCAGAACTTGAACGTGATCTTTACATGATACCCTACAAAATGACTGTCGGACAGCTACAAAACGTTTTAAAGTAAGGATAGTACTAAATCTGTTGAACTTATTCACAAGCAGTAGTGAAATCTGGCAAAATCTAGGAGACAAATGCGAATGAATCGTCGCCATGGCATGATTATACTTGTAAACGGTTCTGTCATCCCAGCGTTACAGACCTCTATGGCGGAGCTGGCGTACAAATACCTAGATGAAGACGGACTCCTGTACATCACCTATGCGAATGATGACGCTTACGGATGACTGGTATTGTCACTCTTAAATAAACCACATTTC